CAATTCCACTCACATATACATCCAGGTGGTCACCCATAGCGACCCTGTATAGGGTTTCTAAGGAGCAGCTGGTGAGCTTGAACCACCGTCCTTGTGGTTCAAACAGACTTTGCAGTCCAGCGCATTAACCCACAGCGCCTCAGCAGGACTCCAAGGGGGTTTTCGCTGATGCCTTCTAAACTCAAAACGCCAAACTATTCACTTTTTTCTCTGCTTGAATCTCCTGTTCTCCCAGCAGTTCTGGGTTGGTCTGCATGTCTTTCCAATTGCAAATGTGCCAACTCTGAAGGTTCTGGGTGGTGGTAGTTGTGCGTCATGGAGTCGGTTCCAACTTATAGCGACCCCGTTTAGGGTTTCCAGGGCTGTAAATCTTTATGGGAGCAGAATGCTTTATCATTCTCCCACTGAGTAACTGGCAGTTTCAAACTGTTGACCTTAAGATTAACAGTAGGGCTTAGGATTCCACCTAAGGCCTTACTCTACAAAGGCTTAAAGTAAAATGATTATTTTTTCCAGGCAAATTCTAATTTCCCTTTCAGCAAATCCAATCAAGTATAGGCTGAAGATGGGTTTACAAGCTCTCTGTAATCATAATTTCCAATATTCCTAATATACATGTGTGTCTGTTTAACAATAATAGGAAGGAGAAACCAATATCCATAAGGCAGTCAAACACATAAACCTTTTAAAACACTCAAGTCCAATCTTTTCTTCTCCCTTTAGACTAACCTCATTCATACGTATATGGCTTGGGCATCTGGCAGGATGCATTCCAGCAGGCCCAGCATTAGCCATCCTTTTTCATCAGAGTGTCATCAGCTCCAGGCAACCCCAGAAACCACTATTCTCCCCTCCGCTGAAATATGTTATCCCAGACCCCTTCATTATTTCTCCCACAAAACCTCACAATTTCATAGGTCTGGAGCCGTTGCAATGAATCCTGCTCACAGTGCCAACTGTTTAAATCAAGTGGGGACCCTGTCTGACTTCCTGTGATTCCACAAGGAAAGAGGACCAAACTCAAATCAATCCAAGACGGATTCCTATGAAGTGGAGGTCATACATGCTTCCACCCCATATTGGGGTCTTAAAAGTTAGTCAAACTTGAGAACCAATTTAGAAAACTCATCCTTATGATTTTGTTTCTTTAGAACCCCACTCCTGGTACCACATGTCTTAGGCCATGTTTTTTAAAGAAGCAAAACCAGTGAAAACATGTTTATATACAGAGAGAGAGAAGTTTACTATCTTGCAATTGTAGAGTCCCAGGCCCCTAGTAACAAAGAGAGTGGGAATTCCTCCAGGGTGTTCATTATATTGGGAGCAGGCCACACCCCCAAAGAAGCATTCCTTCAATTGATTGGCTCATCATAGAGCTGACTATGCATTAGGTTTCATCCCATGGGAATAAGCACATTCCAACTACTTAAACTCTGGAAATCTTAGCCTAGTCAAGTTGACACAAAACCCTGTTACACTGTCCAATCACAATTAGCACCATTAACTGAATCATATAATCCACCAGCATTCCCTTACCTACTCAGACCCAGAACCATCAAGGATAAGTAGTTTTGTGGGAGTTACAAAGACTATGGCTAGTTCATGGCACTGCAAGGTTACCATAGGAGGAGTCCTAATGGTGCAGTGCTTAAGCACTCAGCTGCTGAGAGATCAGTGGTTTGAACCCATCAGCTGCTTACTGGGAAAAAGATATGTCAGTCTGCTTCCATAAAGATTACAGCCCAGGAAATACTATGGGGCAAGGCAAGCTCTTTTCTGTTCTATAGGGTCAAAAGGAATAAAAAATAAATCTTTTAAACTATAAATATATAGAGATTATGGGGAATGTGGTAGTTCCACACTATCCCACGAACTACAGTTACAGCTCATGAGCTGCTCCACTAGAGAAAAAATGAGGTTTTCTGTTCCGGCAAAGATTTAAAGCCTGTACAGGGCTGCTATAAAGAGCTCTGGTAGTGTTGTGGTTACGAATTGGGCTGCGAACCTCACGGTCAGCAGTTCGATACTACCAGCTGCTCCGCGGGAGAAGAGGATGAGCCTTTCTGCTCCCGTAAAGATTTACAGCCTTGGAAACCCTGTACAGGGTCACTATGTGTCGGAACCAACTCCACGGCACATCACAACAACAACAGGGCTGCTATACATCAGGAACGATGAGACAGCACTTAACAACAACATGTAGAGATTATGTTTGTAATATGCAGTCCTTGGTCAATTCTTGGTTCTCATTTTATAAGACCCATCTGCAGGATTTGCCACAGTGGGTCACCCTTGCCCTCCTCCTTGAAACTTTTCTCTATCTGGCCTCCAGTACACCAAACAACTAACTTTTCTCCTACCTCCTTGGTCTTAAGTCTTTACTGGTTTCTTTTCTCCCACTTCTCAATGCTGGAGCATTCCAGGACTCAGTTCTTGGGCTCTCTTCTTCTTCACCTACTCTCACCACCTTAGCTATTCCACCAAATGTTATCATTTAAGTTCCAGTAATAAAACCATGTTGGCAAATCCCAAACATATATTTCCCCTGACTGTCAGACTCAATACCTAGTCACCTGTAGAGCAGCTCTGCCTGGATATTGGATTACATGTCAATCTTAACATCTTTTTGTCAAGTGCCGTCAAGTCAGTTCTGACTAATAGGGACCCTGTATAGGCTTTTCATAGACTGGCTGGTGAGCTTGAACTGCCAACCTTGTGGTTTAAACGACCTTGCAGTCCAGCACACAGTGCCACACCAGGACTCCTTATTATAACTAAAAGTAAATTGTTGGTCTCCAAATTCCTGCCTGACACCTTCTCATCCTAAGTCACAATCCTATGACCTTAACACTTTCATGCGCCCTGTGTGGCATACTAGAAATCCTCATTACTTGCTCCTTCTCATCTTTCTCAAAGGCCATTCTTCCTGACCTTCCCTGACCATGCTCCTCATGCCTCCATTTTAAATTGCAACACCAGTCCCACATCCTCCAGCCCATGCCCTGCCCTATTTTTTCCCTAGCACTTATCTCCTTGAATTGTTGTTGTTGTTAAGTGCCGTCAAGTCAGTTCCGCCTCACAGTGACCCTGTATAGGGTTTCCAAGGAGTAGGTGGTGAGCTTGAACCAGCGACCTTGTTGTTCAAACCAACTTTGCAATCCAGCACATTAACCCACAGCACCACACCAGAACTCCTTACATAGTGGCTGCAAGGTCAGTGGTTCAAGCCCACCAGCTGCTCTTTAGAAACCCTATACAGGGTCGCTATGTGTCAGAACCGTCTTGATGGTACTTAGCAACAACAACAACAACACTCAAAAATATAACCCCCATGAGAGTAGGATTTTTATATCTTTTGCTAACTTGATGTTTTCCCAGTTCTTAGAATAGTATCTGCTGTGCTTGTGTGTGTGTGTGTGTGTGTCTCTACATATGCAGCTGTTGTTTGTGACTCTAGGTACAACAAAAACTGCATGAGCCTGTGACATCATCACCATTGTCACTTTGAGCCATTGCTGCACTCACTGTGTCAATCCAACTCATTAAGAGTCTTCCTCTGGTATAATAGTGGTTACAAATGGGGCTGCTAACCTCAGGGTCAACAGTTCAAAACTACCAGCTGTTCCATGGGAGAAAGATGAGGCTTTCTGCTCCCATAAATATTTACAGCCTCGGAAACCCTGTACAGGGTCACTATGAGTCAAAACCGACTCAACGGCACATAATAACAAATCTCTTTCACTAACCCTCTATTTTGCCTGCATTATGTCTTTCTCCAAGGACTGGTGCCTCCAAAAAATATGTCCAAAGAACAGGAGGCAAAGTCTCGCCACCCTCACTTCTAAAGAACATTCTAACTGTACTTCTTCCAAGACAGACTTGCTGTTATTAGGTGGTGTTGAGCTGGTTTTGATGCATAGCAACACCATACATAGAGTAGAACTGCCCTCTAGGATTTCCTGTGGTTGTTAAGTGCTGTTGAGTCGGTTCTGACTCATAGCGACTCTGTATAGGATTTCCGAGGAGCAACTGGTGGGTTTGAGCAGCTGACCTTGTGGTTCACAGTCCAGTGCTGATCCTACAACAGCACAGCCGGAGTTCCTATTCCTAGGATATAGTATATATGGGAGCAGACAACTAGGTGTTTCTCCAGGGAACTAATGGGTGGGTTTGAACTGGCATCCTTTCCTTCTACAGTCCAGCACTTAACCATTGTGCCACTAGGGAGAAATATATTTCTCAATAGTTGTTACATGCATGATGAAAAATAAATATATCAAAACTATGTCTCTGTATTAAGTGCATGAATTAAAAATAAAAGTTAAAACTATTCATTATTCTGGTGTGGATTTTCTTTTATACCTACTTATCTACTTTTATAACTGTTCGGTTTGCAATGTTTTTAATTGGGAAAGAAAAATGGAAACCGAAAAGAAACTTATAATGACGTTGCAGTTTGTAATATTAACATTATGGTGATCGAACATGAAAAAAAAAAAAAAAGGTAAAAGTTCAAAGTGAGCCATGAATCCAGAAGAAGTTACTGTGGCCCGAATAATAATCTAACACAGGATGAACATGCGCATGTTCGAAGGATGACACACTTCACAGCATCAAGAACTTCTTCAAGAACCTACGTGACTTAGCTCAAAGTTGTACTTCTTTCTCTGTATACATGGCAAGTGGTGAAACATCCCTTAGTGAGCCACGAAGTTACTGGTAGCAAATAGACAACACTCAAATGATTTTGTGATTTTTACTTCGCCCGGAGCAGGAAGCCAAGATATAAAATTCACAAGGAATTAAGGACAGACAGTAATGCATTTCCACTTCTTGAATTTTGTTCACATCTCCAGGGCCCTGGAACCAGGACCGGCGTCGCAAGGCGGACCTAGCTCTGTGGCCACTGCCTGCATTCTCAAGGGCCACCCATCATCTCCTAGGGCCCCAAGAGTCACCCTTTTCCGTCCAACGCCCTCTCCAGGGCCCTGCCTCCTTACCAGCGCCGGTGGAATTCATACTCCTGGTCCTCCGTGGTCGCTATAGTCTCCTTTCTTTTCATAAAACCTAGCAACTCCCGGATCTCCTTTTCACAAGAGGCCAGGAGCGGGTTTTTAGCGTCCAGCGGCCCATAAAACACGGCGAGGGGCAATGTGTCCTCCGAGCAGGAGGAGCGTGGCAGCAGGATCGGAGAGCTTGCCTTCGACTCCTGGGGCGATTTCGAGAGCGCGGTCAAGGTCGATATCGGAGTCGGCGGCGGTACCGGAGGCGACACCGACGTGGGAGACATGTTGGATATATGAACCGAGGAGGCGGCCGACGCTGCCATATTGACGCTACCCTAGAGAAGCTGGGGTACACGCGGTTGCCTGGCGACGGTCTCGCGGCAACCAGACGTCGCGCGCACTTTCCGGGAAACACAGCGGCCCCTAGAGGTCACAGGAGGAATTCGCCGGTCCAAAAGGAATGTTGCTCTTGAGCGGTTTTTGCCGGTTTGTCCACTGGATGGCTATATGAGATGAGAATAGAAAGAAGGTTCTGGGCAGAAAGCCAGTGAATACTAAAGCAAACAATTTACGATCACAAATCCAAACTATATATATTCTTTTTCTTTTTTTAGTTTGACCACTTAGAAATAATAAGGTTGATGAGCATGATGGTTACTAACATGTGACCGACACACATTAGTTCAAGGAGCCCTAGTAGCATAGTGTTGTGAGTTGGGCTTCCAACCTCAAAGTCAGTTGTTCGAATCTACCAACTTCAAGGTCTACACTTTGATTCTACCAACCACTCCGCATTAAAAAATCAAGCTTCCTGCTACCCCCTCAGAAATCCTATGGAAGATCCCTATGAATTGGAACCAAGTCAATGGCACAAAATCACCAAACACACTTGAAACATAAAATCTTAAAAATCTCATATAATTATCACAAAAGCTTTATGCCTTCCACTTCGTATTTTAAGAAACCAATCTTAGGAAGGTTAAGTCATTTCACCAGAGTTAGAACTATAGCGTCAAGGACCCAGTCCTTAGCTTGAGATCAAAATGAACAGGCCATACTAATGCTTTAAGGAAGGAGAGGTGGACCACTTCTGAATGGTTAGCCACTGAAAGCGTTATGATTCCATTTTGCTTGGATCCACAAGCAATGCTCAGAGAAGCAACAGTCAAGAATTAAAACAACACATTGCATTAGACACATCTGTTGTGCAAGATCTCTTTCAATTGCTCAAGAACCAGGATGTCTGTCTGAGGACTAAGGTGTGCCTGATCCAAGTCACAGTATTTTCTATCACCTCACATGCATGTGAAAGTTGGACAATGAATAAGAAAGACCCTAGAAGAATTGACGCATATGGATTATGGTTTTGGCAAAGAATATTAAATGTACCATAGACTGGCAGAAGAGCAAGCAAGTTTGTGTTGGAAGAAGTACAGCCAGAATGTTCCTTAGAAACAAGGAAGGTAAGACTTCATCCTTCATACTTTAGACATGTTGTCAGGAGGGCCCAGTCCCTGGAGAAGGACATCATGTGTGGTAAAGTGGAGGACCAGTGAAAATGAGGAAGACTCCACAAGGAGATGGACTGACATAGTGGCAGCAACAACGAATTCAACATTAACAGCAATTATAAGGATGGCACAGGACAAACTGTTTCGTTCTGTTGTGCATAGGGTCACTATGAGTTGAAACTGACTCCATGATACCTAACAACAAAAACAACAAGGAAGCTTACTAATCCAAATTAAATTGGTAAGCAATTTAAGAAGACAGAGGTAGGCAGGACCACATGCTCAGAACTATGTTCTAATGAGAAAGACAGATAATACATGAGAAAACAAGAAAATTAGCTGACAAGCAATTTAAGAATTAAGTACAGGGTCCATTCCTCTGCTTCGATTTGTGGTTCTCTGGTTGTAGAAATGATGATTGTGCCTAATAATTATGGTTACATTAGATTTATTCATCTGCATTACAGCCTGATCCTAATTATCACTATACTTTACATTAATGACAATTTACTCAACCTTAACCACTGCAAGCAAGCTAATGGCTTAAAGTGTTGATTCTTATAGAGATAGATAGATAGATAGATAGATAGATAGATAGATAGATAGAGATAGAGATCTACAGATATATATATAGAAGTATATCTATAGATCTCTCTATATATATACTTTTTTTTTCATCTTAAATGGGGATTAAACAGGGATTTTAGGAGATTTTGCTTCTGAAGGGGAAACTTTATGTCTTAATGGGAAGTACTTGGGGACAAAGAAAGTCCATCTTTCTCTGCATATTTTGGTCAATTGTTGTTGTTGTTAAATGCCATCGAGTCGGTTCCGACCCATAGCGACCCTGTACAGGGTTTCCGAGGGTGTAAATCTTTACGGGAGTAGAAAGCCTCATCTTTCTCCCGCGGAGCGGCTGGTAGTTTCGAACCACTGACCTTAAGGTTCGCAGCCCGATTCGTAACCACTACGCTACCAGAGCTCCTTATTTTGGTCAATAGTGAGAGTAAAATTTATTAAAGCACTAGTTTCGGATACCCTGTTTTCATTATAAATGCAATGCCAAAAAGAATCTTCTAGAAGAACCAGAAATATTTGATGGTTTAGAAAAAATAGATCTTATAATACTGACCCCTGCTACTAGTTCTGTCACACTTACAAATAAATAGACAGTGAACCTAACACTCTGTGAGCCCAATTTCCCATTTAAGATTAAGCAATTTATTGGCCCACAGTCTGATTTCTTTCAGACGAGACCTAATTTCTTGCAGGCTCTGTGGGCCTGTACTAATTTGTCAGGCTAGCCTAATACATTGTAGATACTGTACTGTAATTTTTTCCTTTTTTTTTAGGAAATATGATAGTGATTTTGCTCAATGGTGTGATTATAGCCAGAAAACCTTCCTGCAAGGAGCAAGATGCTCTGGCACCTCGCTGTAGAACATCATTTCTCCAATTAGAATGTAGAAATTACCCTGTGATCCACAGACCTTGTAACTTGTCTCTAAGAGAACAATGAAAATTTGTTTTAAATTTTACAGAATTTAGACCTAAAGAAATAATTCATTCTTGGGGGCGTTTCTAGAAAATATTAATAGAGAACAGAAAGTCAGCTTAGTAAATTCTCTTCCTTCTCACCTTCCCTTTGTTCTCATACATACAGCTGACTTGTGCACTTCAGATCCAAAGCTGCTGTCATTTGCCACCAAGTACTGTCTCTGATAATGATGAAAGTGAAACAGCAGGATAAAATTAAATGAAAATGGCCAGAAAGGAGTAAAGAAAATAAAAAAGAGGCAGATAAAGTTTTTATACCCCTAACTAGCTGCTCCCATAAACCAACTTTCCCATCATGCAGATGCTTGAATTTCAAAGTCACTGGTAAAAAAAAAAATGTGACTAATTAAATTCAAGTACTTGAATTACGAAACATTGCATCTTGCACATTCCTTCTTGCACATTCCTTCTTGCACATACTGAAGCTAGCAATGCTTGACTTTCAGTAGTTTAGGGAGGCTTGTGTGAATATGTAAATGAGTGCTGTACTTTGAATCATCACTGGGATGAAATGGAAGTTTCCATTAAGTTATATTTGGGGCATTTTTTAAAAAAAATTCTTGAAATGTTATCTTCCTTATAATGAAATGCATCTATTATACTATCTTTCCTATTTTCATTTTGCTTTATTCTTTTCATTGCAGTAGAGAGTGGAGTCTGCAACAATTGTGTCTGACAGGGCTAAATAATGCAAATAGCTTCCTTATAAATAATGTAAATTGCTGTTTCCTTATAATTAGTGTCTTTTCAGGCAGCAGGGATGGTTTTTGCCCATTCTAAAAAGAGTCTTTACCATCTGAAGCTACTGTCAAAGAATAAATGAGGTTAATGCTCTTTCTATGCCTAATTTAGTTGTGAATCATTTGGACTGACCTAAATATACACATATATGCAGTCTTTAAAAAAAAAACAAAGATCTCCCCTTCCCATTTCTCAACTTAACATTTTGCCTTAAAGAAAAAAATTATGTCTTTATTCTGTCACCAGTTAAATTCAGACATTTCTTTTATTTGTCCATGTTGTTGTTGTTGTTAAGTGCCGTCGAGTCGGTTCCGACCCATAGCGACCCTGTACAGGGTTTCTGAGGGTGTAAATCTTAACAGGAGTAGAAAGCCTCATCTTTCTCCAGCGGAGCGGCTGGTAGTTTCGAACCGCTGACCTTAAGGTTCGCAGCCCAATTCGTAGCCACTACGCTACCAGAGCTCCTTACAAGGTATCAAAGAACTCACAATCTCCTGCAAGAAACAGATGACACTATAGAGTTAACTATGATAAAAAAAGACATGCTATGAAATATGCTGCGATAAAGGTTTTTAAAATGTTATAGAAATCCCAAGAAGTTTGGGATGGGAAAAAACAGAGGAGGTGATGTTTTAGTACTAGGTTGTAACTACCCCCACATTAACAGAAAGACTCCTGAGTCACAGACTTGCCTATTTACTGTGGTAACCTAGCACCCAAGCCCAGTGCCTGGCACAAAATACCAGGAAACGTAGTGGTTATGGGCTGCTAATCTCATGGTCAGCAGTTGGAAACTTCCAGCTGTTCCGTTTGAGCAAGATGAGGCTTTCTGCTCCTGTAAAGATTTACAGCCTTGGAAACCCTCTTCAGGGTGGCTATGAGTCGGAACCGACTCCTCAGCACATAACAAGAACAACACTGCCATCAAATCAATCCCAACTCATAGCAAATTTATAGAATAGAACTGCCTCATGTGGTTTCCAAGTTGCACATCTATATAGAAACAGATTGCCTTCTCTTTCTTTCTCCTGTGGAACAGGTGGTGGGCTTGAACCACCAACCATTAAGTTAATAGTCCAGTGTGTGTATGTAAAAGTAATATAAGTGCTTTTTTGACACAGAATAAACCAAACCAAGGGCATTCCACTCAATAGTAACCCTGTATAAGGTTTCTAAGGCTGTAAATCTTTATGGGTGAAAAAAGTCTCATCTTTCTCCCAAGGAGTAGCTGGTAGGTTTAAACTACCGACCTTGTAGTTAGCTGTGCAGTGCTTAACCTATAGTGCCAGAAGGGCCCCTTGGCACAGAGTTTTGTTGTTGTTGTTGAGTACTGTCAAGTTGGTTCCAACTCATAGCAACCCTGTAAGCGTTTCTCAGGAGCCACTGTGGGTTTGAACTGCTGACCTTTTGGTTCGCAGTCAAGTGCTGATCTTATAGCACCACACCAGGACTCCCGTTAGTCGTTATAGCCATTAGTTGCCATCAAGGCGGTACCGATTCATAATGACCTGGTG